TTTGCCAAGCAGTTTTCGACGATGTTCAGACTGTTTTTTTTTTTTTCCTGTAGCGCAAAATACCAAAACCAAAATTTAAAAAATCTCTCTAATCCTGTGCTTAAGACTGTTGTTGTTAGGGCGCTACTATCCAGGGAAGAATTAAGGGGAAGGCAGGATGTGGGCGCTGAGGAAGGGAAAGAAGGGGGGAGTTCCCGCCCCGGGAAAGCTGATCTGCGGCAGCGGGAGCAGTCTCCATGCCCCACGGACTTGATTTATGCCGCCTGCTCTACTTCAACTGCAGGCTGGCGGGAGGCGGGCGGGTCACGCTGAGTGGGAGGGCTCTGCGGAGGGCTGGCGCGGGTGGGCTTGCCTCGGGGACTGCGGCGGGCCGCTCTCAGCACCCTGGACAGCAACACCAAGGGTTTGCGCTGGCGCCCGCGACCTTTCAGCACCGCGGACAGCGGTCCGGCCGCTGCGCCTCAGCCGCATCTACCTGCGGCAAAGATGCCTCGCTAAGGCTAGGTATGTCAGGGCTGGAGGACAAATTGTCTCCGTGAGACCCCAGTCTTTCAAAGTCCTTAATAAAGAAGGCATAGTACGGTAAAAGAAATAAATAAACCCTGTCCACAGGGACTTCTTTGCAGTCAATTACCTGCTCCCCTCCTCACTTTTTCATAGCTTCAAAAAATAATAATCTACTTGTGGAAACCTGTGTTGACCCTGATCCTTCAAAAAAATAAACACGTTTTAAAAAATATGCATTTACCCTGCTGTAGGATATCCAGATTTTTGTTTTTAACACAGCGTATATCTGTTTACAGATCTTGGGTGGGCAAAAGCAGGTGTATGTGAAGATGCCAACACTAACTGTTTATAGGGGTAATATATCTCCGCATATATTTTTCTTGATAAAAATATGAGATTAGCTAACCTAAGAAGAATCAATTTTAAGAATTAATCCTTTTCCCCTTTTCTCCTCCCCCTGCCCTTGTAACTAGGCATGAATACAGGCACACACTCACAAAAATACATCTCTGAGAAATATCAAAGATCCTACTGTGTATATATTTCATCTCTTTGGCTATGGTTTCAGAATTAGTGGAAGTATTTCCTTTTGGCATTGGTTATCAGGAGCGGATATGTTTTGATTTTGACAATACTAAGACTGGTCTTCCATAGGAGAATCCCACTGTGTCCTTCAGGGTAATGCGGGGGAGAAAACTGAGGTGTTAGACTGAAACTGGACCCTGATCTAAAGATCCATTGTAATTTCTGTTAGCACTGCAGGATTTTGCTAGGGTGGTGATAAGTACTTTAGCAATTTTTACTCTGGGCTTTGGAGCTTCTCAATGAGCAAAAACTATCACAGGGATATTCCTCTTCAATATAGATAAAATTGCCATAAAATAATCAGTATCAAAATTGTACTGTTTGACTAGCTGGAAAAGAACAGTAACGTCATATGTACAAATATATATTATACAACGCATTAAAGGAATACTACCGTGATATCTTTAAAAACCCGAAATAAGATCTTAGATTGCTTTTAGTCATAACTCCAACCATGTCTATACTGGAGTTACTAAAATGCCCTGTCCACATACAAAAGGTGCTTTCACTTCCAGCTATTTAATTATTTTCTATTGTTTTTCCTTTTGTCAATAACCATGTGTTTCTATATGTCTATGTTTCTATATGTCGTGCATTGATAAAAATGATTTCAGTGGAAATTTATACAAGGGTATGTAACTGTTGTGTGAAAGAAGTTTATAACTGCAATCTGCAGAAAAAAAATAAGCAACTCTGTTTTAGTAATGGAAAGAGGGGAGAAAATTCAGGCAGGAGTCTCTAAAATTGCTTTAACTTCATGCTGCATGTCCAGACAGCTCTCTGCGTAGTTGCGTCAAATGAAAAGCCTAACGCTACCGGAATTACGTGCTTGGACATTAGTAATTACTGCTGGGTTTGTTTGCTAGTGGAAGACCTGGGGGTGGGGGGAGGAGGACTGCAGTGAGACTGGCAAAGGGCACAGAGCTGGGAGGGAGAGGCGGTATACACAATTACAGAGCTAATTCTATAATAGTTTACTGAGAAATTAAAAGAAAACATAATTGAAACATGGATTTAACATTCACATTGTTGACAAGCCTTCAGGAAAAAAAATCAAGAGGTTTTTCATTTTAAGTTTGATAATTGAAAATCCAGGACAATGCGGTGAAAAAAGGCAGGAGCAGATGGACATAGGATGAGCTAGGAAACATTCACACAGACCCTCTGATGGCAGATTGGCATTTTCTGTATTACCATTTTGACAACACAATTTACAATTTTCTCAACATCTCCATAGTAAAATCTCTCCCAAACTTACCATTTTATTTTTATTTTGTTAAACACATGCAACTCCCTCACCACACAAACACAATACAAACTGTCTCTTAATTAGCTTGTCTAAAGATATTCCTAAGCTCTGAATGTTAACCCCAGAATGGGGGTCATCAACAGGAAGACTGATGTTTCTATCAGTGACACCCGGCAACTGCGTAGCAGTTGGCCTTTAGCAGAACATGTAGGTTTTGATGATTATTAGACATGAAAGAAATCATTTGAGAGAAAACGTAAGGGAAAAATAGATAAATCTGTGTTTTAGATGGTGCACTATTAATAAACAATATTTCTTCTGCTTTACAATTCTATAAAGGTGGGAAAATTCATGTTTTCAATCCTGGTAATAAATACGTTTCTGCAGTGTCATCCCTCATCAGCATAGAACAACCTGATAGAAAGTATTGATTAATCAGCAAGCACTAGATATGTAAATGAATTGCATGGGGGTATAAAGTCTCTAGATAATATCGTCTTTAACCCAAGTGAGTCTAGCATCTAGTAATTTTAATAAAAATAATAAAAGTTGTATTATTAAATGATATCAGAGTGAAAATGCAATAGAACAGTAGAAGAAGAATTATGAGGGCATATATAATTAATGGTCATGTGAATGTGACCAATAATAAAGATTGTAAATTTAACCGATGGTTCTATCACAGGGGATTAGAACAATCTGAGAGAGGAGGCAGGGCTGCAGCTGGCCTTTGGGGATTGGTGAGAGGTGGGAGAGTTCTTCCAAATGAAAGTTACAGTATAAGCAAAACTTTGAGTTAGGTAAGCCCAAGCTATTGTCACTCCCTGAAAATGCCTGTGTACTCCAGGGAGAGTGGGAAGCTTGTGTAGGAGAATATGCCAGAATGGAGAATTGGAGCCTCCTGTGGAAGGCATTGAATGCCACACTGAGAATTTGGTAGTTTATCTTCTAAAGTTGATTTTTGAGCAGGTTAATATCCAAGAACTGCTACTGACAGGGCTGACAGGTTGGACTTCATTTGTTCATCCAGAACTAGACCGGAGGAAATTAGTATCATAAGGAAGGCTTAAAAAAAAAAAAGAAAGAAAGAAAAGAAAAGAAAAGAAAAAGAAAAAAAGAAACAATCAGTCCTCATTTAAGCATCTTTTAAGATTGTTCTTTAAGATATATCCATCTACGTGGATGTTTAAACCCTGCTCAGAAGTCAGTTGTAAGTTTCAATTTTCCATCACTGACTAGAACAAATTATTCAAGATGAGCACCTGCCAGGGAGATTGAAAAGCAGGGCAGTAATCTGGGGATGAGAGGTCCCAGAGGTACACCTGAATATTAAACAGTAGGCAGTGCACATTGTCTTACACCCTATAGGTATTCTGCATTGTCACATAACTGGACAGATGAAAAAATATGTCAGTTCTTTGCATGTTTCAGGCAGCATGACAAATAGGACTAACCCCGTGTCTAAAAAAAGGTAAGGAAATGTTGTTTAAATTTTGAAAAATGGGGGAGAGGTGAGGTAGGCAATATGCCAAGTG